TGTGTGTACACACACACACACACACACACACACACACACACACACACACACAGGGATGAGACAACAAGAAGCAGTAATTATATCCAGCGTGCTTCAGAGGGGTTTGGTTTCTTTGAGACTATTTTCTGATTTCCAACAGAGTTCAAAAAGCAGAATCAGGGCTTTCTAGTGTTTCTGGTCTTTCTGGCGCATACAGACAGTCCACAGTGAGGTCAGCTGATAGTGGTACAGTGATTGAGTTGTTCACTGTAACAGATCTCTCCATAGATTTGATTCTGGTGATTGTAGTGTTAAAAGACCCCAAAGTCTGAGCCATTCCTGGTGTAATTGTGCAAGCAGAGGAGTTCTATGAAAACCCACTTTTTCAGTCCGCTGCGATTGATTGTTAGTGTTTGTGCCCCCTTAAAAATAGTCCAGAGAAGAAGGAAAGAGAGCAGGATTGTCTTCCATTTTCTCCTCTTGATTTGGGGGGAAAGTGTTAAGGTGGATTGTTTAAAAAATGATTGTGAAGATTCATAAGTGCAACAAAGATTAACATATCAAAATAAAAACGGGATAAAACTATAAACAAAATGAAGAAAGCGTTAAAACATTGAAAGCATCTAAAAGCTAAATCCTATTGCACAATTAAAAATTATGATACAAAAAATGGATACATCGTCGAAAAAGACAAAAATTGGCATTGCATACAAATCAAGGAAATACATTTGTTTGAAATAGTAGTTTGTTCTGTCTTTTAAGACCGTCAATTATTTTACAGAGCCTGCTCTCAAACCTAGCTTGATACAGCTAGGTTGAGAAAGAACGCTCAAAGCGTTGATTGTTTTTCATCGCCTTTTTAAGCTTAGAGACCACTTCTTGTGGTGGTCGCAACAGGACAGGACTTCTAAACACTGATTTTAGTTGGTTCAAAGTGCACATAGAAAGAAAGATATCCATTTGAAACATGAAACAAAATCGAAGAAGGGAGATTATTAAAAACGCGGAAACAGAAGCAGATGAGAATGCTGCATAGCTGGATTCCATTTAAAGCAATGCCATCATCAGAAAGACACACAGGAGTGAGACAGACCTAATTACTGTACACCATCAGACTCGAATGTTTGTTCACAAGACACTCCATAGCTTCCTCTTGCTGATTGAGAGCTCAACAGACAGAAACCAAACGCTTTCTGGGTTGTTTTTTTCAGTCTTGTCACAGAGCCTGTGTTCACACGTGGGTGTTACTTGGCTCGCTGGCCAAGCTCCCTCCGCGCAGGTAGATGGCCGAACTGGACTTGGGCCGGTTCTGACTGTGACCTTGACCACGGGAGGACCCGTTGTTGTTGACCTCCGGCCCCCTGGTGTCTGTGGAGATGACCCATGTGGTGGGGCGCCACTTCTTCAGGGAGTAAGGTGTTTTTACGCGCTTCTTGATCTTTTCTCCTGTCTCAAAGGCTCCATCTAGCTGCAGGCCGTCCCCTGGAAAACAGGAAGAAACATGGATCAGTACTTTGTGCAGAGTTATCATGACTATTTACTAAAAGGGCATCCAGTCCACTTCTATAAAGTGGTGGAAATATAATTCTAAAAAGTGAAAAAAATATTAAAAACATTTTATTAGTAGACTTATTATTTAGTCGCTTGACAGGAACATTTGCGCCAACTGATAATTGATTATCATTAAAGTAATTTTCCATGCAAATTTGATAATGTTTAACAGTAATTAGCTGCAACCCATTTTTGTTGTTTTTTTAGGTAACAAATGTTTAGTCTCTAAGTCCGAGCTAAGATAAGTCAGAGGATTACCGCTATGTCATCATGACTTCAGGGTTTATTTTCACAGGCTTTAGAGTGGTACTCTACATGACTAGTAAACTGATCTTTATGTGAAACATAAACATTGTCCCTTTAAGGTAACATAACTCATCATAGTTAATCTATGTCAATTAAAAGTAATTCTGTAATTCAGCATTAAAATGCTTTAATGCTGTTTTGCAGCTGAAAACAATAAGTTACAACATTTTTAATAATTAAAAGTGATTTATCAAATATTGCCAAACATTTGAAGTTCCTTCAATATGAGGATTTGCATTCTATATAATATATAATAATGAAAAACCTAACAAATAGTGTTAGGATACATGTATCAAAGCCTCATAAATCTTTGTTAAGTGAGATTGTTGCACTGGATCCGAGGAGGATTTTTGTGCAGTTGTTGATGTATAATCACCTAGTGAGGCCAGGTCCTGTGTGGTGAAGGACAGGTCCAGGGAGTTGGGTCTCTCAGGCCTGCGGGCTCTGGGCTGCCTGAGCAGGGCCTCCCCCCTCATGATGACCGAAGGCTCCCCCTGGGGGACAGCGACGCTGGATCCCGACCCCGAGTTCTCTCCTGAGGGCCCTGTGGTTTCCCTGCTTCCTCCCTCCCCACTTCCCTCCTCTTCTCCTCCATCACTCTCCCCTCCGCTCTCATTTCCCTTTCCCAGGCCAGTGTTGCTGTTGTTGTTGTTTGTGTTGGGTCGTGCTGAGCGGAGAGCCGCTACGCTCGACGACATCGCTCTCGGGTCGGGCTGCTCTCGCTCGCGGCTCAGGAGCGGCTCGTTCTCGTCGGGGCTGGCCGTGATGACACCAAGGCTGAGGCGGCTGTCGTCGGACCTCAGGGCTCCGGAGCCGTTTTGAGTGATGCCAGATCCTCCAAAACCTGTCGCTCCACCTGTAGCCATGGAGGAGATCCCTACACCGGCATGACCGTTAGCAGCGCCATTCGCGCTCCCGTTGAGGTGCGTGTCTCGTAGAGCGGGTGTGTTGTTTGTGCCTGGGACCCGGTTAACTTCTGCAGCTGTGTTTGTGCCTGTTACTGCACCAATGTTCATCTTTGTTCCCTCCACCTGCCGCAGGTTGGACTTCCCAGAGCGGCCAAACTTGAATCTGAGTGAGGACGAGGATGACTCCTTCTTGGGGGGCTTGTTGCGCAGGGGCAGACTGGACGGCCTTTTTGGCAAGTTCTGCTGCTTGGGCAGGGGGAAGATGGTGGAGGGCATGGGAGCGGCGGGGTCTGATGTGCCTGCTGCCTCACTTGCCATCTTGATTAGTGGGTAGAGGAGACTGGAGCTGCCGGGACTCAGCGGATCTGGAGAGCAGAACTGTTTCTGTGAGTGTTCCATCAGGTTCTCATCCGAACTCTCCTTCAGATTCTTGTCTACTTCTTTCGGGTCTAGCTTGGTGGTTTCCAGGTCCTCCTGGGTAAGGTGGAGGCAGACGGGGACTGAGGTCCCTGCAGGTCCCTCAGAGTCAGAGATGATAGTGGTGGTGGTGGTGGAGGCTGATGGGCTGCCTCTCAGCCCCATGCTGGTGCTGCTGCCCTCTGGGCTGGGCAGGCGGGCGTTGGCTTGCTGCTGGCGCTCCTGGTTGATGGAGTTCCTGTTTCTTTCTCCGGTCCCAGTACCGGCCCCAGCCCGACCGCTCACAGAGCCAGTGGTGTCCCCCTGCGTGTTCTTGGCAACGCCCTCATGCTCCTCAATGTAAGTAGAGGGGTGGTCTGTGTATGGGCCGGATTTTGGCGTCATGCGATTTCTATCAGAACAAAATGAAAAGCAAACAGTGAGGTTAAAGACAACATTTAAAAGAAGTACTGAGTTGATGGAGATGGTTGTGTCTTTCTCCCTACCTCTCATTGTGCAGGGTTGTGGACATGGGGTTCAGTGTAGGGCTGACAGACTTGGAGCGGTCCCATATGATGAGCAGCTCTGCCAGTCGCTCCTCTGCACACTGTGCTGTGAGGCGGGCCTCTGCGTCCTGGTCCCAACAGTCCTCCATCGTCTCCTTCAGAGAGCGGACCGCCTACAGGACACAGTTTGATCACTTTATTAAAACACTGATCCATATACAGCAGAAACAGTTCCTAGATTATGTATCTCTTACACTGTAAGAACTATAAAATGGATCATTAAATAAGTACATTTGAGGAGGACCCTTTAAACAACTACCGTAATTTTCGGACTATAAGCCGCGCCTTTTTTCCCATTTTTCGACCCTTCGGCTTATATCACGGTGCGGCTAATCTATGGATTTTTACAGCTAACGGCCACTAGGGGACCTCCTAAATCTATGGATTTTACAGGTTACAGTCCACCACCTTTAACTCTATGGGCTCTATGGCCGGTCCGCGCCCCCCACCTTTAAGCGGCGGGTTCCAGCAGGAAAAGCTGGAGGCCGGAAAAGAGTGAGACAGGTAGCGCGCATAAAGTGGAACCGAGAGTGATACGAGAGACAGAACGAGAGCAAGACAGACAGACATTACGAGAGCGAGACAGTTTGTCCCCGTACCACTGGTTGAAAACCACTGCTGTAGGTCACTGCCGGTACGTGCGCTGGGAGCGCACCGTTAAAGTTTGAAAGTTGAAAAGTTTGTGTGTCTGAAACGCTATGTGATACAGTACAGTCTACACAGCACAGTACATGTTCTGTAGCTACTATTGCACTAAATGGTAACACTTGAATACGTTATGCAAATATGCAACTGGTTTGTTGAAATGTTAATAAATGGGAGCTTCCTCAAACAGCCATCTCTTTCCCGACAATCCCCTCTGTGCACGAACCCTTACATATGGTAAGGTGTAATATTTGGAGTAGTCTTTAACACTTGTACGTGATGTTACAAAAACAACAACACACGAATGATGGCAGTTAAAGCCTGATATTGTCCGCGTGGACTAGAGTGGTCGACGTGACTTATATTCGTCCGTGTCGATTAACCTTACTACACATGTATATTATTCTGGCGTGGACCTGATATTCTGCGTCCATCGATAA